CGCCGCGAATGGACCGCTCCGAAGGCATTCCAGTGATGTCTGTTAGAACGGGTTGTATAATGCATGATCGACTCTCCTCACGCTAGTCGACTGCTATCCAATACCACGATGCCGACATTTCTTTGCAACACCTGCCTGACGAGTGCTTCCGATTCTTCACACCGGACAAACACGTCAATTCTCGACACCAGACGATTCACACCATGAGTAGGGGCACCTTGGTCGGCGATCAAATAAAACAAACCGTGCATAGCGATGGCAGCTTCATCTATTACCGCATATGGGAATCCTTCAAAACCGCGATGAATGGCTTGTAAGAATTCGTTCAGGATGGCACGCGTCATGGGTTTCTGGGTGGGATATTGAGGTAGAAGTCGATGAGAGGGTAGGTCTAGAAACTCGTGTCTCACGTGTGGATGTACGTCGTTCAAAGAAAGAGGTTGCTGCTGAGGCTGATAAGGCAGAAGCAGATGGGAGGGTACGTCTTGGAATGCGCGTCTCACGACTGTATGTATATCGCTGGAAGAAGGAGGTTGCTGTTGGGGCTGACGGTCCTGTCGAGGCCGGGGTTCCTGTTGAGGCTGACGATCCTGTCGAGGCCCGGGTTGCTGTTGAGGTTGATGACCCTGTCTACGCCTGGGTCGCTCTTGAGCTGTAGGTGCTCGACCACTCGCTTCCTTGTCAAGGCTTTGGCTCATTGCTGCTCAAGCTTAAGGTAAATTCGAATAGGACTGGTCGGGAACTCTATCGCGGTAATTTGGAAGGAGGCGCACAGATGGTCAGAACAGTAAGATCACCAGAGAACGAACAACAAAACGTTGTGTTCTATCTGAGACAACCTCTGGAATACTTGTATCTACCACTAAATTCATCGCTTCCCTCACAAAGTGGGGAACGGAGACGTAATATCTGACGTCCCGCACCTCAAATCCTGGAGTTATTTGGCAACGGTTCTCGATCTTGCTATGCGTGAAACACAACATGTTCCATTACGGTGCTGGTCGTTCCAACCGCCCCTGTAATTTCTGATAGAGTTTCCTCAAACAGGTTATTAAATGACGAACCAAGGTCTTGAAGAGACAAATGCTTTCAGAGGTACATTACTTGCTCAGGTAATATTTATATCTATCTCCCTTGGCTTGTCTGCTGGGCTATGGCTACTCGGCACATGCTGTGCCGTCTAAACACACCTCAAAATCACTAGCCAGGAAACAATACTATTTGTATGACCTTGTAAGCCGTGTAGCCATTGAATTGATCAAAACACGAAAGACTGGTGAGTGAGATCTTGGCGGAAAGTTACACTTGTTCCTTTCCAAAAGCTACCATTGGCGGACGCCCGGTTATTTTTAACTGTGCAAACAGCATGACTTACTACGGGTACAGGCCTAAATAATGTAACATTATTTAGGCCTGTACCCGTAGTACATGAGCAGGCCGTTTCGCCTATGAGACTATGTTGGAAGATGTGCATAGCTTTCGCTGCCATGTCGCACGAACGTGTGAAGGTGACCTTCTGGTCGCTCCATCGTATTGGTTTTCCTTCTTGCACCACTGGAGTATTTTCCAAGAGGTGATTCTCGATGACTCGTGCAATTTCAGAGCAAATTTCGCTGTACTAGTACCATACAGCCTATTTTGTACGTACTAGTATATCTACGCGCACAGCTCTTTAATAGATAATACAACTTGCTTCCTGTGTCCACCTCTCACATCTGCTCGTCATTTACAGCCGCTGAGCTCACTTCACTACTCAGCCCTTGCATCAACCCTGGCTCTTCACCTTGGCCGAATAGTATCTCTTGCCGGGCTGGAGTGTGTACATGCAGAGCATGGTCAAGCGTGAAGCACGGCACCCGAGGATGCTTTGTAGAGCTTCCCTGACAGATGGCGCCCTTCAGAGCAGAATCCATCAGTGCCTTGTTCGGCATTTCCTACACCGGATGATGGCCCGCCCAGGAAAGTGATCTTCCACCTCAATGTTGAAATCCTCGTTACAATGTCGACAGACGCTAAGATCGTTGACCCTGCTCATCATCGCATCCAGCTCGCTTGACTTCCTTGCGAGAGCTTGTTTAGATTTTCCCTGTAGTAATTTGGATACGCCTATCTCAGCTTCCAAGCTTTGAATCTGCAACAGTAATGCTGAATTCTCCTCCATATGCCTTATCATAAGCTTATCCAGCATCCCTAACCCAAGCTCGCCAACATCTTCAACTAATTCCCGGAATCCATCTTTTTGAATGAAAAAATCAGAGTGATTTGCGACGATTCCGGAAACGATGTCACGAAGCCCGCGGTCGCTGCTGGGAGTGGAGTTGAAAACCTCCCTAATGATGGCCGTAAAGTCCGCACAGGCCCAATTCCTTCTCGCCCACCTGCCGAATCGTTGTTTCGCAAGATCTTTCAAAGATTGCACATTGTACTTGTCTGCAATAGCATACACGCGAACACTGCTGAAAAGAGTAGGCTGACTATCCCCTTGGCTATGTACGTTGCCGTCATTATTGTTAACCAGGGTTTCGGCGAGGACTTCACGCTCAGCGCTTACTACTGTCGCGTCGCTGTTGCTGGCATTCGAAGCTTCCGCATCAGAAGATCTAGCTGCCTCAACGTTGCCTCGTTGTTCGTCCTGATAGTCCAAGCTATACATGAAAGAGATCATGCGCTCGACAGTTTCCGGGTCGTCATCCTTGAGCTCGATTCTCCCTGAAGATGCTTCCTGTGAAACAGCATCAGTCCTCGTTCATAAATCTATTTACTGTTCTCAGTACTTGCCTTGAAGCTCCCACCACAAACGGCATCAAAGAATGGTGAATGCGGACATACAATCGCACGATGAACAGCAAACTCGCGATCTCCACAACAAAGCGTCAGATCAGAGTACTTGGCTGACTGCAAGAGCAGCGTCAGAGCCTTGAAATGGGCAGTTGCTGCCATTTCCTGGCATTCCTTTCATGAACATCTGAAGTTTGCCGGACAGAGGGTGCAATTCTGAGCAAATCTCAGGTCATCCTCTGGAGAGCAGCCAGGTGCGGCTCCTAATCTGATCTTGGCACCACTTCTACAAAATTTGGTACAATCAGCAATATATCATATCAAGGAGAGAAGGTGGCAAGCAGAACTACCAAATGCCAAGCATTACATCCACGTCACATGATACGAAGGCTTCAATTTGGGGCTTCCCCAAGCATCGTCATTCACAGATATACATCGCCATAACAAATTTGGACAACACGTTTTTGGCGCCAGCCTGGCTCATCTCCTTCATGTCTCAGTATGATACTGATGCAGTGAACCGCATGCTTGTCGACCATTGTCATTTCAATCCGTTTCATGCTAGTCATGTTTAATTTCTAGACACGACTCGCTTTCTTATTGAGGGTGATGGACTATCATTGCAGCAATACTTCTACCATGCGTTGACGATGATATTATCAAGAAATGCCAGTTCTCTGACGAGGGTCCAATAATCCAGCACGAGCAGGCGGTCAAAGATTTGGAGAAGTGGCCCCAGGTTTCCATCTGGACAGACATGGGTATACGGTACGAGTAAAATAGAGCACGATTCCAACGACTTTAGAATGAGTTGGACATGTAAGTTCGAAAGATGGATATGGCATGATTTTACTTGGTCTATGTGGGCCGGACCACCCACCCTCTTACACCCCACCGGTTCCTCTGATAATGCCATCAATTCTACGGAGTCCATCCATTCGCTCAACGATGGGAAGCATGCGCAGCGACGATGCTCTTGGAGAACGCTTGAGGGGTCTTCTCCTGAGCCTAGGGACCTGTAAGGATATCTCCAAGTCTTCCAGAGCTACGGCATTCATTGTTGCGCCCAACAACTGGACTCCAATCATGCGTTGCCTCTTCTCCCACGTCTACATTAACAAGCCTCTAACTACTTGTCACATACATGCTCAACGCAGAGATCGTATTGCCTGCCCTCGCTCACTTGGCTGATTCCAAAACCGCTACCGTCCCCAGAGAGCGAGGTTCATCAAGCATCAACCCCTCAAACCCAGTTTTTATATGCTACCCTCTCCGCTCTCCACTTCCTCCTAGAACTTGCCGTCATGATTCAGCTGTATGTCCTCTCTCACCATCATTGTCTGTTGATTTCTCAGAAAAGCAAACGCAATAGAGCCGGCCCCTGTCCACTGTTTTTATCGTCCACTTTTGGATTGCGGAAGGGGGTTTGGGAGTCAACGGCCATACGGTAGGTGACCTTCTGGATTTGATTCACATGAATCCCTCTCTATGGCAGAGAGATATGAGTTGATTCTGGAGTTGGGGCCCCCCCGGGGGTTTAAGGAAAGGAACGAGGAACAAGCAGAAGAGTAGTCTGAGGCTGATAATGAGCCATGGAGCAAAGCCAATGGTTGAAAGCATGAAAATGAGAATGAGAGCGCCACATTTAGTATAAATCCTCGATTAGTTTTCTCTCCAGGCCTCATTTTCTATCTCTATTGAGCTATGTGTTTGTCTATTCTAGCTTCTTGCTATATCGTGTATCCCTCATCATATGGTATCATGTCATGTATCTCAATGACGGGTCTAAACTTGAATCCCAACCAGGCGTTCCGTCCGCCTGTCCCAGCCAGCACCCCCCCGTCCGCAAGAGTGTCGTGCATATAGGCCATGCGAATGCGGTGCAAAAAGCCGGACCCAACTGTGGATACCCATCACTGGAAGCCCCAAACGCCTCATCCCATTTTCCATCCAGATTAATTCCATGTCCTTCACATATTCAGCAGGCTCATCTGCCTCCTCATCGGACTCCCACTCCCCGTCCCTTTCCCATCCCCTGTGTTTGAAACTCCATCCTCACTCTGTCCAATCCCACTATCCGTCCCCAGCCCCCCACTAGGTCCAGGGTCTGTATCTATATCCCACTTCTCATCTTCGCCTTCTCCTCCCTCCTCACCGTCTACATCTTCTCCAGCAGCACTACTTCCCCAGCCCTTCTGCACCGCGCCCCTAACATTCCATCTCAAAGCCCTCTGCACACTCTCCACCCACTCATTCCCTCCCCTCATCACAGTCGGGAACGGGTACTGACTCGCCTCCAACGTCACGTAATCCCCTTGTTTCAACTCGATTCGCCCCTTCCCATCGAAGGAGCAGTACGCCGTTGATCTCGAGGCAGCAGGTACGGCGATCTTGAGAGCCAAGGTGTCGGACAGAACCATGGGCCTGAAGGAAAGTGTGTGCGGACATATGGGTGTGAGGAGTATAGCGGGGATAGAAGGGTGGATTAGCGACCCGCCTGCGGAGAGCGAATAGGCTGTCGATCCTGTGGGCGTGGAGAAAATGCAGCCATCCGCCTGCACGACAGTCAACAACTCGTTGTCACCGTACAGCTCGAGATTGGAAACATAAGGTGAAGGACCGCGATCGATGACCAGCTCGTTGAGGACTTCAAACTGCTCGCCCTCCTCCACTGCGCCGCGTTCGGCTCCTGGGCTGCGGTCAACGCGCCATACCGTGCAGGTAAAGCGCATGCGGAGATTGACGCGCATGCCGCCATCGCCCATGATTCGGTCGAGATGGTCTTTGTATTTGTCGAATTCGAAGTTGGTGAGGAAGCCGAGGCTGCCGAGGGCGAAGGAGAGGATGGGTGGGACGACCCGTTGGAAGAGCCAGGATGTGAAGAGCACGGTACCGTCGCCGCCAAGGGTTAGAACGAGGTCGAACTTCTCGGGTGACGTCCAGCAGAGGTCGGGGGTCCAGTATTTGAGCATGTCTTGGAATCGGGAGTCTTTTTCTAACAGGCCAGGCGCGTCAAATCGCTTCGAAGTACGCAATTTGGCATCGACGTAGACATTGATTCCAACATCCCGACCATATCTTGGGGTAGCCAGTAACCACTGCGCCAGTTCTCGTGTCAGATATACCAGTTTGTTGTCCCTAGCTCTGGTGACAATCATGATATTCCGCACTGCTCGTCTGATTGGCCGACGCTGTAATTGTTTCGACACTTCCCTAACTCCGGTTGCGGTATGCATCAACCTGGAATGAGACAGCCACTCGTCGTCCGCGACGTCCTCCAAAACCTTGTCAATATTGACAGCATCGTCGAAGCGTTGGTGGAAAAAGCAGGGCGACTGTAAGGGGAGACGGGTCGAAGGTGGAGATCTTTCGGCAAATGCGGTGGACTGCAGGTTTGCAAGCGCAGTAGAGAGCCGTTGAGAGGAAAGATTGCTTAGCTTCTGGTCTTTTTCATGATCCGGGCTTGTAAGAAGACCTGTCAGGGACGCAGCAAGTGGCAGGCTTGTATTGGCTGACCCTGGTGGACGAGATGCTAGAGCTTTCATGATTGTCTGTCTAGGTATCTCTGCAGAGCGTGTAGTCTTGCGATGATTGAAGAAGGATTTGGGTGGGCGGATTGGATTCGACGCTGGAGCTGTTGATGACGAGGCAACGGCGGTCTCCTTCACAGTGACTGTTCGGCCTGCGGATTGGATAGAAAGCGACGAGAAGTGGTCTGCATGGTGATCTTGGTAGATTTCTCCATTGTTTTGCAGCGGATCTAGATGTGATGCATAACCTCGAAGCATTGAATTTCCTAATTCCGCAGGCTTGACTGTGATTTCCTTACTGCTCCTTGGGACTGAGAAGTCATTGTCTAGGAGTGAAGCTGAGGCTTCGGGGACAGTTTGTAGGCCTGACTTCGGAGGGGAGAGATTGGGATGGGCGTAGTGAGATGCCATATTATTGTAGCGGAGTCCGCGGGTGGGAGGTGAGTGGTGATTGCTTGGTTAGCCTCGGATCCATGATGTGATGTTCAAAGGCGGACGGACGTAAGCGGAATCCCCGAGGTTAGGGGAGCTTGGATGGAGGCATCATTGGGGCGGTGGTGAGTTTGTTCCGAAGGCATGTAAGCCCGAAGGATTGCAGCGCAGGGAAGGAATGGTAGTCGATTTAGGCGTGGAACTGATTGGTAATATGGACATGCAAAGGGCAACATGTGCTGAGGCTGTTGGTCGTAGACTGTTTAGTGGTGGAACATGTTGGATGGTGAAGGGTTAAAATAGATCCCTTACTTCTTGAAGATCTTAACTAGAGGCTTCGTGGAAGGGGGCGGCTTCGGCCGAATTGTCCGTTGACAGCCCAGAGTTTGCAGGTAAAGGTGGAGGTAGCCATTTGACAAAGCAGTCAATTAGGCCCAGTGATCAAACCATCCCAATTACTAGTATACGTCTTCAAGGAGGAGTCTACAGGTCGTTTCGATGAGTAGTCAAGCACGCGACAAAGTTATCAGAGGAGCTAATCCCTGACAAGAAGACGTGTTGCGCATTTCATGTATGAGGCGGTTTCATGGCGGTGTACGGTGGCCGGGGTACCAACCACAGCCCACTTGACTTGGCAATTTGATGGATGAAGGAGGTGATTCGGACTCAGCAGAGTTGCCATATTTAATGATGCTTATGGCTTAGGCCAGGCCTGACGGAAGGAGTGTCACGTCTTTCACGACCGGTGGATCCGATGTAGACCTTGCGGCATCAAAATCCAATGTAAAGGGCTGGAGTGACGCCATTTGCTCAGAGCAGAGAGCCGATGGAGTAATGTGCGGTCCTGCGCTAACTGCACTGTCTTTACTCATATGAGATTAGAACCGTGAGACACCAGAACGCTGCTCCTCTCGTTTCACTGATACGATCAGAACTTTAGCCACTGTGTGGAGCCTTGTTTGACCTCTGCTCTCGTCAGATGATGGTTGGATAGGATCAAATAACAGTATAGCTAGGCCAACATCATGCCTGCTAAGTATCAGGACAGACCGATCCCTTAGCCATTGACCTCCCGGCCTCTATCATGCAGCTTACCACCATGTCATCAGGACCTAGTCTGTATGCCCATGCTTGCTGTTAATTGGATGCAGAAAGCGTACTTTGGACATATCAGCATATGAACTCAACTCGACACTTCAGCCGGCCTCAAAATGCAGAAGTGAAGCCATTGTGTTGAGCCTGGCTCATTGATACGCTTCATGGTCAAATAGAAGCATTCACATGAGAAAAAGTCCTGGGTTTGCTTTCGTGGTGTCAACCTTATGCGTTGCAGCTTGTCAACAAAAGGTGATCCATAGGCAGAGAGCATCAGCTCAGATGACCTTCGAAACGGTTGTATGCAGTTATGTCACGGAATCTTCATCCATTTCTCCAGCGTTCATCCACTGTGACCTTTTCCGCGATGACAGATCTCGTGTGTTGCTGGAGGGACTTGTCCTCCTCCCCTTTCTCGATCATAGCATCGGGACTGCCCAAGCATATGAATTTTGCCTTTTCCTCGATGGCATCCCATTCGTCCATGCTAAATCTCCCTTCGCTTTCGGCCAGTAACAACTCATCTTTCGAACTAAATGTCAACACATGTAAGCTCTTGGCGGCGTTGAGTTCTGCAATGGTAGGGTGATCTCGGGTGCTCGTCTTTGACATAAGTGCGACAATCGTAGAGGTGAAAGTGCATCGCATCGGAATCGCTGCGTCCATAAGGGCGAGGCAGGCCGCATTGAGAAGCCAAGGAAGCATTGGAAGGTACTGCAGTGAGAGACAAGCTGTTAATGAGGGCAGCTGTTCGAGTCGTCGGTGAACTGGAGACCTACACTTTCTGCCTGTGGGTTGGTCCTGCCAATGGCTTTGTCGTCTACCGGTACTTTCAAAACTTGAATGGTAAGCTGCACCATCTGCCGTGGAAACATCTCTAGATGAACCACATCCCGCAGCGTATTGGCAATGACCACTTCAAGATGTCTCTCTTTCACTTGACCTACACCATCATAAGGCCGGATGGTGACCTCAATGTGTGCTTCTTCTGGCAGCTCATCACGTCGCTGAACCTCGATGGGTCCGTTGACTGCAGCGAGAACAGAGCAACCGTTGGGCGATGCATACGTTGCAGAACCGTCAGCGCGGCTCAATGAATGTAACGAAGTCTGAATGGCCATCGTAAGACTCATTCCCAGAAGGCAGCAGAAGAGGTTTTTGGTCACTATTTGTTTTGGAGAACTTTGGGGAGGAATATGGCCGAGGCAAAGCAATCTGGTGATATATCTATGGCCCAGAACATTGTTTTTGCAAGACTGATATTTTTCTAATCTGAGTAGAAAGGGTATCGAATTTTGTTGTACAAAAAGCCTTCTTGTCATACATGATTTCGCTCAATCCGGCAATGCTCTCATCACTCCTTCGAAAGCCACAAGCGCCATTGCGTTGGCTGGAAAGGCCCGCAAGAAGCATGGTACAAAGCCTCTCCAATACCCCCGCCACCCATTCTCCTTGCCAACAGTCTTTGCCGCCTGCCACCACGATCGAAATCTTCGTTGTCCGTCATTCAGACCACCTCCTAGTGGGTCAGTCATGATACGCTGCTTGACCACATCTGAGGGATAGGATGTCAACCAGAAGACCTGCGCTGAAAGTCCTCCGGCCCAGAAATTGATCGATGGTGTCGAGACACTCGTATTCTTGTCAAACCATCTGCTCAGGACATCATAGCTACCCCACCAGAAGAAAAAGAACGACCGGAATATCATGGTTGCCAAAAGTCCATGGTAAAGTCCACCAATACCATGTGCGTGAAAGATCTTTCGAACACAATCGATTGGTCCGCTATACAGTCTGTCCCTCTTGTTTGCCTGGTACTGCGTTTGTAGTCGCGCCTTGACATGCTCTACCGGAGCGGCAATGAAAGATACTGTGCTCCCCGCCATGACACCAGCAATCCCGTGCCCGAATGAGGGAAGCTTGTCCTTTACCAACATCTCACCTGGGATCCGAGGCCGCAATGCTGGACTGGCAAACACGTGCTCTCTCAGTAAGCGTCGATACACCGTTAGGCTACCCAACATGAGCGAGTCCATTGCCATCCATCCTACCAGCGGAGGAGTAGCCCCTTTGTAAAGACCTTTGAATCCTTCCCTTCGCAGCGTCTGTACTAGGCAGTCTACCGGTCCACGGAATTGTGTGTTTTCTGATGTCTGAAGACGCACTTTGATGGTATCGAACGGATGGCCAACGGTGAGTTTGGCGATGCCAGAGAAGATGCCTGCGACGAAGCCCTTGTAGTTACTCGACAGCACTGCCTCTGCCGGCTGGCCCTGGCCGATCGCTTCATTACTGCGGCCTTGTGTATCTGGATTTGCCAGGGAGCTGCTCAATATTAGATACAGGGCTGCTGCAACGGAATTGTGAGACTTGTCTGACCTGCTTATCGTTGCGGACATGTGCAACCCGGGCTAGAGTCTGCAGACGCCGAGGGACCGAACACGAGGAATTTGAGAGGAGTTCCTCATCTGTGCGCGGAAGGATGTGGACTCTTGGATCTACCACACTGTCACCTCCCCCAAAGACAGATTATGCGCACTGAAAGAAGGAAAGTTGATCCCAAAATCATGAATCATGAATCATGATACTATTTCCGGACGAGGGATATTCTCTATCTCCGTGACTGCCAAGCTACTGTCAGATGTGAGATCTGAGCCCTAGGTCCCTGAGAGTCTACCAACTAAGTTTACAGTGGGTTCTCACCAAAGGGTACCCACCACCTATTAGTTATTAAGTGCCCCACCCTGGTAACGGACCACCCCTGTAACGGACCACTGCCAAATTGAGCTATTTCTGGGTACCTATCTCTACATTTACTCAAATTGACTAAATACAAAGGACATTCCGTCAATTTGAAGCTGTTTAGCCTGCTCAGCTGCCCTTCGTAGTGCTAATTCCTGCTCCTTATCGCCGTACCGCGCTTGTAGACGTTGCTGTCACTCTTCATTGATAGCCTGCTCCTCTTGTAGCGCTTGCTGTGCAGCCCTGAGCGTTTCTATATTTATGAACTGCTCATTGGAGTCAACAATAGCCTTTTTTTTGTGCTTCGTTTTTAGCTCCTCTAGCTTAGCGCTATAGTGGCTTAATTGTTGCAGATTTTGCGCTTTTTCAACGTGTAGCTGACCGAATGCTTTTGCTGTTTTGTTGAATTAAACGCGTACACTACGCGTTAGATTCTCCTCCTGCAAAAGTGCTGTTTGCGCTTCTATGAGTTGCCTCTTATTCTGTGGTGTATTAAGTATCGACGAGGAGCTATATTGACGTTTGTGCAGCGTTTATGGCGGCTTCAGATTACTCTGAATTTGCTTCGAATTTAGCACTTTTTTTGGTGCCTACGGAAATAGACTAGCTGCACGCTATCCAGCTTTGATATAGTTCTCACTTAGAGCATATTCTCTTGCTTGATTGTAGTATTCAACAAAGCGTATCTTCTTCACAGGTGTAGAATCCTTGAAACGAGTAAGGGCCTTAATTTGCGCTTGATAGGAAGATTTGATGCGTGAAAAAACTGCTAAATCAAGAGGCTGTAGAACATGACTTGTATAAGGGGGTAAGTAGATTAGTTGAACATTGTTTTCGTAGCATTTCTACATAAAATCGACAGTTATATAGTTATCGTGATTATCAAGAAGGAGAATTC